CAGGTTACTCAAGTTCCATGTCAATGTTGTTATCAGATTTGATTGAAACAGGAACAAGGCTAGCTCAGGTTGGATGAAACCCGATAAACGAAAAATGTTCAAATTATGAATTGTACAAGTGACATTTTGCAGTTACAGTTTTCTCTGATTGTACAGCTGTCATGTAAAGAGAAGTACCACAGAATCATCCATCCATCCATTATCTATACACCGCTTAATCGGGGGAGGCTGGAGTCTATCCCAGCTGACTTAGGGCGAAGGCCGGGGACACCCTGGACAGGTCGCCCGTCTATCACAGGGCCACACTTTGAGACAGACAAACAAGCACACTCACATTCACACCTACGGACAGTTTAGAATCACCAATTAACCTCAACATGTTTTTGGACCTTGTGAGAGGAAGCCGGAGAACCCGGAGAGAACCCACGTTGCACGGGGAGAACATGCAAACTCCACGCAGAAAGATCCTGGGTGTCCTCACTGTGAACCGGGGACTGTCTAGCTGTGAGGCAACGGTGCTAACCACTGAGCCACCTTTCATCCCACTACAGAATCAGACCTTATATATATAAAATTTGTATTGTTAGCAGTGTCCTCATAATGTATAATGCCAGAAAGCAAGAAAGTGTGGGGATTCATGCTGTAGAACACGCACACATAGTGGGTGGTGGGCTGTTAGAAGGAGAGAGCCAGAGTAAAAGCACTGTAAACACCTCTCAGATTAATGACTTTTCCACCAGCCATGAGTCAAGCAGGAATCTATCCAACAGGAGAAAGGTAGCAAGAAAGAAAGAAAGAAAGAAATGTGTGTCTGTGCACATTCCTTTCTATGCCCCACTACAAATAACACATAAGAACACATACGTACACACAAATGAACATGAAGGCATAACCAGATCAAATAGCACAGCCTAATACTGCAAGGAGACAACATTGCTCCAGAACACTTTCTGTCTCGCTCTTTCTCCCTCCCTCTCTCTCTCTCCCCTGTTCCTCCCTCTCTTTCTCTCTCAGACACACACATGGTGATTCACTGTGTTTTGCAACAAACTTCTCTCTCAACTGCTATTTTGTAATTTAACTGAAAACTAGATATGGAAATTATTTCCTTGTGTGTGTTTTGCAAGAGCTAAAGTCAAAATGTGGTTTCACAGCGTTGCCTAGACCACCACACACACACACACACACACACACACACACACACACACACACACACACCATTACATACCTCATTCATTTATTTTCCATGGCTCTGAGTGTACCTTCCTGTCTTTGGAACAGCAGCCTCATGGAGAACAATGTCTCATTAAATTAGGAGGGTCAGGAAGTCAACACACCAAGGTGAATGGCTGAACTTCCCCATACACTCTTTCCATGTACTTTGGACACACACATGCACGCAGCATAGAATTCCCTCCAGTGCTCCAGCCCCTGTGAAGCCTTCTTATGCAAACACATTAACCAGTGACCTCCTTCACTCTGAGCTGACAGACTGGGCTCCAGGCCCCTGGAAGATAAGGTCCAGCTACACCTCATTTTAAAAACTAACAGGTTTCAGCTACATTAGCCTTTGCCTGGTTAATATATTCCATGAAGTGTAGAAAGACTCCAGTATAATCAGGCTGAGGTTCTAAGTTTTATTCTCTGTGCTCCAAATTGTCCATCATTTACCCTGCCCAGCCCCTTAATGTCAACAAGATCCCTGTGAAACAAAGTCACTGATCAAAGAAGACACTGTCTCACAGTTCCAGTACCCAGGACCCCAAAGACAGGCAGGTTTACTGCATGTCAGTCAATTTTGGTAATTCAGTTGACTGAAAATGGGTGAAAAAAAATTTGCATCACTGCTGGACATGAGAAATAATGTAATGAAGCTGCCATCTGCTTTGTGCACCATGCTTAATGGGAGGTTGGAGGAAAAGAAGTACATAAACAAAGCACAGAGGGTGATAGTACAAACTGGGGACTCTTGGTTCTGTAGTGTAATAATGATGTGAGCCACTCAGTTAGCTTAAATCAAGTTGATGTGTTTTTCCTTTAACCTTTATTTCATCAGAAGAATGCTGTTTTTAGTGTAACCTGACTGCTTTTGAAATAGAAAAAGTATAATGACTAGATTGCTTGATTATTTACTCAGTACATTAATAATCCCAGTATGATGACCGCGTTTCATTTTGGACAGGCATTTTTTGGGAGTAACTGAGAGGAGAAAATTTTAGCTTTGCATATCAAATATTTCAAACTTTGCGATACTTCCATGTGCAATGCACACTGCATTCTCATGGGGACATTGTTTTTTGGAGAGTACTGGTCTAGAAGTGCTGGTTTGGGTACTTTTGAGCTTTAGAGGGGTTGGAAGTGTACATGGGAATGCTTTTTTTAACGTTGTACTAAGTCTAATTGTTTATTCCTGCTTCCAGGATATGCTAAACTAGGATACTGCAGAAGACAGAAAGAATGCATAAATGTTAACTATTTGTTTAACAGATGCTACAGCAGGAAGCTCAGAAAGTATTTTTCGCAAGGCTGCACATAACTATCCAGCACAACAATCTACCTTTCATTTCAGAGTTGTGACACACTGTGAGGTCACATTAGAGTGATTTTCAACACCCACTGCATTGTCTTTGAGTTCAAAACAAGACGTAATAAATTTGAACAAGGCAGGTATTTTCCATCACCCCCCTATGTCAACACAGCTGTTAAGGAAAGCCAAAATCCCTCTTCCACAGTCAAGTTTACCCAAGATACTACAATACAATACACCACCATCACACTGCAGCAGAACACAATAGGCACCTTCCACCTAACACTTTGATGCTATCATCTTCCTGCTGAGCAGATGGTTTTCCAAGACACCGACGAATCATCCCACTTGTGCTATTACTTGATTCATACCACAGCAGAAAAGAATCTCCACTTTCCACACCCACCCCTCCACCTCCCGCCCTGGGAGTCTTTTGTTCTGACTCTACTGTGTTCCTGTTTTGATCATAAAAGTGGTGTAGGGGGAGAGGAAAAGACAATACGTACAACAAGCAGTGCATGTAGACATTCAGGAGCCCAACTGGATGAAGATTTGCCGTGATGGAAAGAGGAAGACCCCTTCCCCTAACCCCTCCTTCCCATCCCTTCATTAACAAGCCAAAGTATTGTATTTATGAGGTGAAGGAGCACATGAGAGAAAGGGAAAGAAAGGCTCCCTCATCTGGAATGCAAATGGGTAAGGTTGAGAAAAGGGTGAGTGGGAGATGTCAGAGTTAAAGGAATGAAGGAATAGATGCTGTGCAGGAATGCTTTATTAGGGTGGGTCAGGGTGAGATGGAGTCAGGTCATGCTTACTTGTCTTTTGTGTAACAAAATGTCCAAACCAAACTACTGGACCCTGGAGGATGAAACGTTCATTACATTCAGTCTTGCCAGTTGTGGAGCTATGTGTTGAGGGGGCTGCCAGAGGAAAGGTCATGGGGTTATTAAACATGGGCTACGTTTTCATCACTCCAGTCTTCTTCACATTAGGTGACCAAAGTCTCCGTCATGTTAGCATTATTGAACAATAGAGCACATAGGTTTTAGCATGCTAAATCTATTGACAATCTTTCCATTTCAAAGCAAAACTAAATTTCTAGGTCCAGGCCTGAATCACAAAACACATGCAACTTGACTTTAGCACCAATAAACAAACTGTTAATCTGTATACACAGTTAAAATGGCATTACATGTAGTGAACTATGCATAATGACTTGTTTAGGATTCAAACCATAAAGTTTAGGACTTTAACTTGACTGCAGACAAGATGTAACAAACACCCGAGACGTGAGATTTTGTTATTTGCAAAAACAAGACTCTGTCCCTCCTGTAGCTTCCATCTCTGTACTAAGCCGTATGCATAACACACACAATCAACATCCTAACAATAATTAAGTTGTTGGGTTATCTCCGACGAAATCCCGACATAATGAACCAGAACACGATTTCGTTGTCATATCATTTCTCTCCCATTTTGCTTGTTCATGTTTCTGTGAGCAGGTGAGTGTTTCTGGGTGAATAGGAGATGAGAGAGAATGACAGCATGTGCGAACCTGCACAGAAAAACACAATTAGACCGCAAAAAGGCAATTCACCCTCATCTGGATGGAAACATCCCGGAGCGCTTTCCTCCCCTCCAGCAAGTGTGTATGCTGTCTGCTTAGTATCTGTACTGTGCATATCTTATGAATGTGAGCAGCAGTGTCTGGGCAGCTTTGTACTCCGACTGGGATTATATTGCTTAACACTAACAGAAATGCCCCCTAACCTATTTCCATTACCAGATTCCATTCCTTTGTCTCCAAGACAGTTACATTTTTCACTTGCATGTCTTCCCTCTAGTATGACATAAATTAGTCAACCCTGAAGTCTTGTTGCGGATTCCACTTGGTCAAAATGTAATCAGCCAACATCTCTGTTTAAACTGGAATCTTTTGCTTCTAGTGTGTAGCAAACCTTAGCTGTTGAGTCATCCTCCTCACCTCAGTTAGCTTGTGTGTACCTATGCACATGGAAACAGAGGAAAATGTACTTGTAATAGAAAAACATGCATTTCACAAAAGCTAGGGCCGCTCCATTATTTATACCAGTACTGGAGCCTCTGACAGTTCCTAGCTGTGATCTAACCAACCCCAAGTATGTGTTGTCTTTCCTGGAGATCTCCTGATATATCTAAGTCAAATTCTAAAAACCATTGAATACATTTGCATTATGAGGTCATTAAATTAACACTAATATGTTAACAATGAATATGTGCATTAATTATATGTGCTGTTGCAGTTACCTTGACATTTCTCATTGGTTTTTTTTTCCTCTTTTGTGACTTACAAAATAGTTATTTGGGACCAAAATTTCATGAGTAAAATTTTTGGAAGGTTATCTTCAGTTATCTTCTTGTTGCTTAAACCTGGAGTGTCTTCTAGATGTCAGACTTAATTTGATTAACATTCTTTGTTCTCTCTTCTCCACAGGATGAAGTGAAGATTCCCTCAAAGCTCAGCATCTCTAAATCCATGAAAGTTTCTGAGTCTGTGTCAGGAAGCAGAGGTGGCAGTATGCTAGAGCTCAAAGAAGCTGTGGAAGAGCCTGGAGAGGAGGGAGAAGGTGAAAAGGTAGACAGACCCCATATAGATCTCTCATCAGATGAGGAGGGTGTGGAGATTGAGGAGACCATTGAGGAGTCTCGAGCTGAACGGATCAAGCGCAGCAGCCTGCAGCGTGTGCAAACCCTGAAGACCGTTTTCTCAAAGGAGAAGATGGATAAGACCAGAGCAAAAACCAAAGAGAACCTGGAGAAAACCCGACAAAAAACCAAGGAGAACCTTGAAAAAACAAAGCAGAAGACAAAGGAGAATCTGGAAAAGACAAAGCAGAAAACCAAGGAGAATTTAGAAAAGACCAAGCAGAAGACCAAGGAGAACCTGGAGAAGACACGTCACAATATTGAGAAGAAGATGGGAAAACTTCAAACGCGCATGAGTGTCAATCCTGACCGCAAACAGAAGATGAAGACATCCAGTGACAAGATGAAGAAGGCCTTTACACCAGACCACGTTGTTTATGCTCGGTCCAAGACTGCTGTGTACAAGGTGCCCCCCTTTACCTTCCATGTCAAGAAAGTTCGTGAAGGTGCTGTTGAAGTGGTTCAAGGCACTGAGATGGTGGAGGTGTCCCAGGATGCTGACCCCTTCAGTGGGGTAGATGCAGACGTTGAGGAAGGCGGAGTGGAGGTTGAGATGGAGATGATGAATGGAGGTGGGGATGACGAAGAGATTGACGAAGATGAAGAGGAGGAAAGCCATGATGCCTTGGAGGAGAATGAGGACAGGGATAGAGACAGCGACTAAATATAGAACAAGGAATTTGCCAAGACCATTACAAAATCCTTTGCACCATCCCTAAGGTTCTTTTGTAAAACCTAAAAAAAAAATGTTGGGATTGAGAACACTAAAAACACTAAAAAATGATTGAGGCTGATTACAAATAGGTCCTATTTTTGTAATTCTGGCCATTATTCTTTCCAGTTAAGATACCTTTGTACTCATTAAAGTACTTCATGAGAACATGGCAATGTCACTACAGGTTTGACTGATCAGTCAGATGATCAGACAGGTGGTGAACAAGTGAACAGAAATGATGCATCAAAATTTATCACAACAGCCGCCTGTACAAACATAACAACAGTAAATATTGCAGCCTAGTAATGTCTGCCTTTGTATTCTCTTCTGAAAGAAATTGTAACATATAGTGTGAATGCTGCCACTTGTAAGTAGAATTTTTACTTTCTGCCCATCACCAAAGAGCTGTCAGACAAAGCGAGCTATGTGATCATGAAGAAAGAACATTTAGCAGCTAAGGAGACAGATATTTTCCTCAGGTTGGACTAACTACAATATATTGGGACATATGCAACTCCAAAACAATGCCAATTTTTCTTGTTTGCTAGAGTTGTAAATAAGTGTTGACTAATACATTTTTACACACTTTATGAAGTGTGATAGATGTTGTGCTCTCTACAGCTACTTGTGCTGCCTTTAAAAGTTCAAGAAATGTAAAAAATCAAAGTTAGGACCAGGTAGAATTTGAAAAACTACATATTGCATAAACAGTGGGAAAAAATGGAAGATAGTAGTTACCTATGTCTTTGCTCATTTTTAAATTCCAGCAGCTAATCTGTCCATGAGTTGTTACATTTCCAGTTCTCAACAGGTAACTTGGTCAAGACAGTATTATTACTAAGAACAGGAATGATGGCCAAAACTACAAAAATAAGACTCAAGTTGGAAAAATGTAATTATCATTTAACAAGTTTTATTTTATTTGACTACAGATTGTGTGCCTAAAAATCATAATTGAAATGATTTAATGGATGTCTTCCAACATTTCCAAAAGCACTTGATGGGTTGTTTAGAGTCTGTTTGTAGTTTGTGGAGTAAATGATAATGAATTAATAAAGGAAGACACAAAGTGGAAAGAGGAGCATCAACTTTGCTGTGGGTGGGGCTGAGGAAGATAAGATGGGCAGCAGGTGAACTGGCACAAGGGGAGGACACCGTCATCATCATCATCCCCGAATTTCATTTTCTGTCCCATGTTTTATGTCAGGACACTAACCATTCACAACTAGTGTGATGAGAATATGGAAATGACTCTCCTGTCCATTGAATTTCAGTAGTGTTTGATGAAAATGATTTTGGGTATAGCATATTCCCAACACACTGAGTATATATTCATGCTTAACCAGAAATTCTTTGTGCTTCAGATATATCACATATCACACACACAAAACTATTCCTTCCACTTCTATGCTGTTCAGCTGTTGAATGCTTAAGTGTTATTCTACTCTGCTTAATTTACCGTATTTAGAGGCTCAGTGATGTCTGTTATAATGTTTAGGTTTTGATGTGCACAAGTATTTCTGTATGATTTGTATATGAACACTCTTGACATTAGGCTGATGTTGTCTCTTTTTCATTGCTGTCAGAATGTAGCCTAATGGCGGTCTCTTCAGCTCAACTCGTTTCATGCAGTATTTTTATGTAACAAGTTGCTGCCATTGTTCCCAAAAAAGAATCATTACCTGTGAAAATGAAGGTCTGCAAAATATAACGTAGAGACATCACATTTCCCTCACTAATGAAATTTATGTGTTTTTTTTCTGATGAAAATTTTGTTCTTTAAAATCTGTTATGAGTTATTCAAAAATGTGTTCCATAAATAAACTTAATAAGGACCAATACTTTCCGCACATCTCACAAACCTCTGGTGGAACCAGTTTAGACTCTAGTCGACGCTGTGAGTGTGTATAACTGCTGCGGTCTGACACTGACCCCTAGTGTCCAGTCATCTCACTATAATTGTTTCTGCTCCAGATTAAAGGTGCATTTTACCAGATCTTCCAACGTCATTTCAAATGACAATTTTATTCAGATATGCCTACTATTATTCAGATTTGCTTGTTTGAAATAAGATGTATAAATGTGTTTCATATTTTTGCCACCACTGGTGGTATTTTAGGAGTGCCTTGCAAAAATGAATTTAAGGATTCATTTTTTTCTCTCTTGAATGTTTTGCATTTTTGTCGCCTATACATTTCCATCTGCATATACATTTTCTTAACTAATCCTGGTGAGGGGATGGGGGAGGTTGCAACTTTTCCAGGCATACTGAAGGGTGTTCACCCTGGGCAGGTCTGCAGTCCAAAGAGCTAATGCTGATAGAAACAAAGGATACATGTTTGAATCCAAGTAAGAGCATTTGTCGTCACCACAGTATGTGTACTGTCAAAGTTTAGTTTCAAGCTCAAACTCATCACCATTTCATGTGTGTTCCCTTTTTCATATAATGTGAAGCACTCCCAGTGCAGATTTATAGCGGCAGTTTTGTTATCTGCTCTCTGCACTTCTTCTGTGTTTAGCCTTCGAGCCAATTTATTATAGTGTTCACACAGATTTTACAGTGCAACAAATGACCCTTACAACTACATGCAAACAAGTATTTTATCCTTTTCATGTACAGTTGTGGTAGAGACCTTCAGTGGTTTAATGCTCAAACCTTCAAAATGGATCAACAATGCCATGTCTGTCAGAGCAGTAACAACATGCAGCTGCAGCGAGGCCTGGTGCCAATGAAACACAAAATGTAGTTCACATTTAACTGTTTCCTTGCTTTTGTTTTGTCAGTAACTCTGTATAATGTTGCATTGCTTAACCACTAATGATTTAATTAATAAAAGCTATTTGGTTCACAGTTCCTGTGCTTTAATTGATTGCTTCGGGTTTCATTAATAAGTTATGAAACTTTGCTACATTATAGAGTTAGAAATGAAAGGGCATTTATTTCTGTCCGTTTTCAGTGTGAAAGGTTTTGCTCCTTTATGACCTTTTTTTTTTTTTTTTTTTTTTAAAGCCTGCCTTACAGTGTTGCCATTACACCAGTTTGCGTATGAGAGGTCCCTGACTGCAACCTAAGACAACTGGGTATTCATATTTAGAGGAGCCACAGGTAACAGCCACTGGAAACAGAACAATCAATTACAAATTACATTATACATATCCCAGTACAGTACAGAAGTGCATGGTTATTAGACAAAAATTCAAACTTTGGATTTAAATAAACCTTTTAAGTTAACAAAAATAAATAAATAAAAATGTTTCAATGTGTTGACAGAATAATATTAGTAATTGCATCAACGTAATATGTGGGAAAACTAACTCAGGTTTCTTGTTTGTTGCTTTTGTTTCCAAGATTTTAATATTTTGTGTTCTTTTACACAATTCCATCCATCCATTATCTATACACTGCTTAATCCTCATTAGGGTCGCAGGGAGGCTGGAGTCTATCCCAGCTGACTTAAGGTGAAGGCAGGGGACACCCTGGACAGGTCACCAGTCTATCACAGGGCTACACTTAGAGACAGACAACCAAGCACACTCATATTCACACCTACAGACAATTTAGAACCACCAATTAACCTCAACATGTTTTTGGACCTTGTGGGAGGAAGCTGAAGAACCCGGAGAGAACCCACGCTGCACAGGGAGAACATGCAAACTCCACGCAGAAAGATCCCAGTGCCCCCACTGGGATGCGAACCGGCGACCTTCTTGCTGCGAGGCAACAGTGCTACCAACTGCACCACCTTGCAAACTTAAAATTTAAAAGAAGCTACCCTAACTGTAACCCTTTTTAAGATTGTTAACTTTAAAAACCTATGTTTATAGTTATGGTATTGTGTAAATCACACTTAATTCTTTTTTGTAAATAGTGTTGAAATACTAGTTGAGGAACTGAAGTTTAATGAGTAATCAAACTTGTGACTGTGCCACTAATCATTAAATAAATGGTCGTTAAAAATACCTTTAATTGAAAAGTAAATCTAAATTCCTTTAACTCAGTGTAGTTTTTTTTTTTTCAGTTTAACATAATTTCATTAACTCGGAAAGATTGATGTAAACTGTTGTTGTAATTTATGTCTGAACCCAAACATTGTTTTTCCAGTCTGTACTAAATAACTAGACAACTCCCCTTCCCCTAAGATAAGGTATGGTAAGATAAGAGAAGATAATCCTCAATTCATCCAAAAGTAGTAAAATTTAGTGTTACGGCAGTAAAGGGGATAGTGCAAAAATGTAGGTACATCATTAAAAAAACAAGTAAATAAATACATAAATGCACAATGCAGTAATACATAGTATAACAATAGTAATGAGTGAAACAGGCCCTATATTGTACAGGAAACGACTGATGTTGCACAGAGTTCTTCTATATTTTGAAAAATATGGGGTGAATCTTGTTAAAATGGTACAAATTGGGTCAGTTAAGCTTTGCAGCAAGTATTTTTTTTTTCAAGGAATGCTAAAATAACTCAGAACCAATTCTTATACACTGATGAAAAAGAATCCCAGAAATTTCACAGGGGTATGAAGTTATAAAAATGGGTGTGACATCACCGAATTTATAAGAGGATATAATTGCTATCACAGTTACTAAGAATGATTTCTACACTATTTTTGACCTTTAAAAATTTACAGTTTGTTGTTGTTGCATATTGTTAAAGTGAAACACCCTGATATTGTAAAAACGGGACACTGTTTTTCAAATTTCTAAATTGGATCAAATATAGCTTCTCCCAAATATATTACCAGCTAGTTTGCTGGAACGAAGCTAAGATGTCTCTGTCTATGTACTTTATTTCTTTCCAATCTGTTTGTATAATAAATTAAATAAATATGAGTTATCAAGACTTTGTCTTTCGTTTTCATTCTGTTTATTTTGGTAAGAGAGTTAGCAGAAACAGTAGAATGATCCTGTAAATTCTTCCAAAGATTTTCAGAAAGCGTCCCATTTTGCCTTAACTCACTACACAAATGTAGCACAGATCCTGTCCATGTGTAGAAAATGTTCATGTTGCACAGTTTCTTTCACATCTACAAAATATAGAAATTGCAAAGATTCATCTCATTGTAGAAAATAACGATTTTACACAGTTTCCTTTATATGCAGAAAATTTTGATTGCAAAATCGGTATTGCGGAATTGTTTGACATGCAGTTTATGGTTTGACACCCAGCTGAGTGCGGGATGTTAGCTGTTATAAAGCTGTCTGCACTGAGCACAAACATCACACCCGGAAATGGACAGCTTCCTACCAAAATAATGACGTACAATGAACTGTAGGGCTTAAATACCGTATTTTTTTAAGGAGCCTATTGACTGAATGTGTTACAGCAAAGATACCCGGTAATAACCCGTGATCAATCTAATATTAGGGATATCAAAGTAGCTCAGTAAAGTTTTTTTTATTTTTTATTTTTATTTTGAAAGGTGCTTTGCTGCACGTCAACAACAGCTGCTTCATCACAAACTACAAGTCGATAAAGTAACGTTAGTTTGGCGATGTGACATGTCTGTCAGCGAACCAGTGGAGGCTTTAAAAGTTGTGTGCGTGTGTGCTGTCCGCAGCTCGTCCATGGTGTTGTTGTAGGGAGTGTTGCAGTCTCTTAAAAGGTGAGTTCTGGACGCAGCAGTGAACTACTTATGGAGCATGAAAGTGAAGTTTCGGTCGAGCTGTGCTGCTTCAGTAAGCCTTCCTACTATGCTAGCTTACAGCTAGCTCGCTAAGGTGACGCCGCCTTCTCTCACCAAAGTACCAAACATAACGTAAATCCACCATCTACCCGTTCAACGCATGTATATTTGTTACACACTACTTAGAAACTGGCACTTGCAGATTCCGTTAATATAATGCGTATTTTCCCGTTAGCCCGTATTCAGCTCACAGTAATGATAGCCAGCTAAGCTACATCCTAAACTTGCCTGCTGCAGACTCAGGCGTTCTGCTGTAGTGCTGCCAGATACCATCACTGTTCAAAAGTCTGTGTAATGAATGGACTGCTGCTGTTCTCTTTTAATAGGCATTTCTCAGGTGGATGGTATGCTTTGTCAATACACACAGCATCATGTTTATTAAGTAATTAATATGTTGTTTTGTCACAAATGGGTGATAGTTAGGGTCTAGCTGCTGAGCATGTAATAGCTAGACTGATTGCAGATATCAGGAACTCGGATGTTCTTAGTCAAAATGAATATTTGTGTTCTGATATTCACTGTGTCCTTCTTCCTACCCTATGATAGTTATTTCTAATATCCACACATGACTCCTCCAGGAGAAAAATGTGTTGCTTTAACAATCATTACAGATATTTACATTTTAGCTGCTGATCTGAAAACTGAGTTATGAGTAGTATTGTTTTTAGTGTCAGATATCTACAGTTTAATAGCATCTAGTAATAATTGTAGTTCTAGGTATTTTTATAATCCCCTCAGTTCAAGAAAACTACATTGGCCTTTATAGATAATCTAGATTAAGTTGAAATTAGTCAGACTGACGTACGTATCTTGAACTGCCTTTATGACTTATCAAAATGATGTTGTAAATATCTCAAACTGGAATTCTGCTCAGCCAAAATGTAATAACAGTTTTTCTGAGATAGAATTTTGCAGAATGACGTTGCAGATACCTGCAATCATGTCAGAAGCCACAGCAAGTGGATGCAGAGGTGTCTTAAACATATGGTACTGCAACCTTAACTGCAACTGACAAACCATTTTATTGTCATATCAGAGCATCCTGAGGCCTAAGCTCTAATACATCACAACCACAAGTCTCTTACAAGCAAAGCTCTTGTTTTCCACAAACTTCTTGCTGATAAACTCTTCGTATTACACAGCATTCTCTCACAATCTTATCCACCACAACACCTGCCATTACTTTCAGTAACTCTGTTGAAGGGATTGGCTGGATGAAGCCTCAGATGACCAACGTCATGCACAATAATTCAGACTAGTTTTAATGAGATTTTCAATGTCTTCAGCTATTATGGTGACCAGTCCAAGCTGAATTTCAGAGATCCCGAACTGTCGTTTTGACTGGCCACAATGATGTTACATTTGTCTGAATAAAAATCCTAATTAGTCACAGTGTGTTTAGGACTAGTCCAAATGGTGTTGTTGGTATTGATAATTTTAATATTAACTTTAAGTTATAATGCTCAGTAACGTGCTGCTTGATATGTTTCGGACTTTGCTCTCCAGTGAACAGAAAGCTTGTTGTCAAAAATGGCAGTTTGATTTTAAATGTTGCCAAGATAAATTAATGTTCCATATCAGTTCTCAGTATAACATTGTGACAACAACAATCATCTTCTGCATTACAGCTGCCGCTTACCATTTTTTCCCCTCTGTTAACCGTTCTATCCTTATCCCCGTGATTCGACAGGACCACCATGGCAATGTGGATCCAGGCCCAGCAGCTGCAGGGAGAGGCTTTGCACCAGATGCAGGCGCTGTACGGCCAGCACTTCCCCATTGAAGTGCGACACTACTTGGCTCAGTGGATTGAAAGCCAACTCTGGTATGCAATAGACTTTTATCATTTCTTTCCTGATTTATCAAGAATAATATTGGTCTCTTTGGATACAAGATGCCTTTAACTTGATTTTTTTTCACCCTCCCTACCTTCCTCATATAAATGAGGGGGAAGAAATAATAGAAACAGTATAGCACAATACAGGTCACCATCACCACATACTACAGTCTACAAAATGACCCTAATCTGAATCAGCACTTCACTAAAGCAGTTTTAACAAAAACTTAACATTGAAACATTTGTGGTAGTTGGGTTTATTTCAGATCAGTTATATTATACTGCACTAGCTATAGCTACCTATATCCAAGCTGCCTTGAACTAGTATTCTCGTGAAGTTGAACATAAACAGTACCTAAAAAAAAAAAATCGTCTCCAGCATATTCAAACATGGTATTATCGTGACATCCACATCGTTGGCAGGGAACCAAAAATATATATGAAAGATCTTAAACTGCCAAAAGAAATGGACAGTTTAAATCTACCAAACTTGTTTGCTTTCTATAAAGCAACACAAATTAGAGATGCAGTTGTTTTATCTCTAATGGTTCCTGAGATATTGTCATTCAAACATAGCCTCAAATTTCAAAGTTCCAAAAAACATGCCAAAGTGTCGTTAATAAAATGTTATCACGTAAAGTATTTGATACATCAAGCTAAATCAATTGCTGATCATGGAATCAGTTCACTTGTGTACTATCTTCATAGTTTTTTTTCTTTTTCTTTATTTAATCTATGTTTCTATAACTATGTTCCATCAATTTTAAAAATGCAACAAAAAAAAAACCTAACAGCAGCTGGTGTTGGTAAAGCAGCACTGGGCTTGACATTGCCATGGATTTATTAGAAATCTGAAAATGCAATCATGCTTCTCCAGGGATTCAGTGGAGTTGGACAATCCAGCTGAGGAGACCAAAGCCAAGCGTCTGTTGGACAACCTGGTGGCCGAGCTGCAAAGGAAAGCCCAGCTTCAGGGAGGGGAGGATGGTTTTCTGCTCAAGATCAAGCTAGGCCACTACGCCAGCCAGCTCAAGGTACGAGTTAGCTACAGCAAGAAAAGGGAACTAGCATATTCAGAAAACTTGTTTCATCAGTTACTGGAGCAATATACAAACTTTCCCATGAATAGATCCTGTGGGATTTCTGTGGTGCTTTTATTGGACTGTTTAAAATCTCAAAAACTAATCATAACCATAGTCTTCCAGATCTAGTTCTTAAGAAAAGGTCTCTAACCAAGTTGGCATCATTCCAAACAGCCACACTGGAAGGTAGGAAGGATAGCCAGTCGTCATAAAGACATCGGAAGAGAGTATTAGTGCAGACTATAAATTTCTCCAGGGAGACGATCAATGTTTCTTTAGATTGGTCACTTGAAAGTCGCTTATATAGCAGAGTAACAAATGCCAAAATACAAATCAGTGCCTGTCACAGGCTTCGATCCTCTCACACCTCCACACAGCAGGCCCATTGGGATGTTAAGAGGGCCTGAATGTCAAAACTCAGTTAATGGATGTTTCTGTGTGTGTGTGTGTGTGTCTGTGATGGCCGGTGGTGCTGTCGATCAGACCACTGGTGCTGCAGGTTTGGAAGAGTTGAAGATAGGTGCCAATCTTTGCTATGGAGGTTTTTGATGCTGTAGGTCAGAAGAAACAGGTATCTCCTTTGTTTTCTGAAGAGATTGCGGCTTGGTGAACAACGGGTGCGCTGCGGTTTTGTTTCCATCTGTAGGTGGGCGATCCAGGTTACCTAAGATAAGTCAAGGAGCAGTGTGACCATTTACCTTGTGACAGGTCCAACAGTTTTAAGGGCATTGCATAATGTCAACCTCGAAGGATGGTGTCCAAGAAAAACACCCTTACTTGCTTTTTGGCACAAAATTGCAAGATTGAAGACTGGATTGCCAATGCAACAAAGCCCCTTCAAAGTGTGTGACTGTGGAGAAGATCCTAAGAACACAGTAAAGAATATGTTCAACAACCAATCAAACTTGTTTTTGAACTATATTTTTTAGTAGATCTCTCTGTTTGACTCATTCTGTTTGAGCTAAGAAGGCCATATTGAATCTTATTCTACTCTTTACAGTCACTGGAATACAAGGATTAACAAAGAGTGTGATGTTGTATGTGGTATTATTGTAATGCTTGACTATCAAAACATATGGGAAGATATTACTCCGTCTGTATCTTTCTGTATCCAGAAGATGTGATGCAAAATGGCCCCCAAAGTGTAGCAAGTTTCATGCTTCTTTTTTTCAAGTGAACATATCACCTGGAATTTGGCACATAGCACCAGGACAAGATAAATTAAATTGACTCAGCATGTTTGGCATAAATCTGAGAAGGACTACCACAGTCTATGCATAATCCTGACGGTGAAGCATGGAGGTGGATGTGCAATTATATGTGGCTGCATGAATGCAAAAGGTGTCGGGGAGGTGTTAAAGATGTTAAAGCTCAGTCACAAATGGATCTTTTAATTGAACAGTCACCCCAAGCATAGATCCAAAGTTTTGGCAAAATATCTTAAGTGCAACAAAGTCAGTGTATTAAAGTGGCTGTCACAAAGTCCTGTGGTCAAACCAATAGAAAATTTGTGGACAGCACTGAAAATCTTTTGTGAACATGTAGGCCTACAAACCTGACTTGGTCACACCAGTTCTGTCAGGAGGAATAGGCCAAATTCCAACTACCTATTAAGGGAAGCTTGTGGAATGCTACCTGAAACACAGTTAAACAACTTAAGGCAATGCTACCAAATACCAAGAAAGGTATGTACATTTAAACACCACTGTTTACTGCACATTAAGCTTTGTTTTCATGCATATGAAATGTTTTTCAAGCTCAGAAGTATTTAGAATTGTATTGATTTTAATTAATACCATAGACAGCTAAGATTAAGAAACTCTTTGCATATTGACTGTTTTCTAAGTGTCAAGATTTAACTTGCAAGACTGATTGTTTTTGGTAAACCTAGCCCTGGTTTGTATCATCTCATGCCATGTGCTACAAAACACCGCTTTAGGCAATGCACAGTCGCCACAGGTAACTGCTACCAAAATGTTCACATATGCCACCAATTTTTTGAGAGTGTAACTTAAAAACTTTGAATTTGATAATCATTTGGCTATTTTAGTGCCCCTCCTGCCAGCATGTGTAGCATCTGAATTAGCCATAGTGGTGGACAGTTGTACTATTTCCTCTTCTCTGGCTCAGTCAGTCTCTCCCTACCTGACGCATAAACCAATCCTTTTAGCTGTTACCATGTTCCAATGATGAATCAACCTATTGTTGATTATTTAAAAAAACAAAAAAACAAAATGAAGAGTGAGAGGAGAAGGCTGATGGAGAGGTCCTGACTCAGAAACACCTGATGATGAGAGTGAATATGCAAGCAGGAAGATACTGATTGAACCAGTGAAGAAGAAGAAGTACTACATTCAGTCACACAGGCTAACGCAGTACTAGGACTGAAAAATGGAATGAGAACAAATCACAACCTGTGCTTTGATGAAGTTCCGAATGATGTGGTTTCACTAGTGCAAATGTGTGCAAAATTCTTGGATTTAACTAACTATTCTGATTTTGTGGATTATCTGTGTCTTCTCTGCAGAGCACTTATGACCGCTGTCCTTTGGAGCTGGTGCGCTGCATTAAACACATCCTGCACTCAGAGCAGAGGCTTGTTCAAGAAGCTACAAATGTAAGTGTTAAAGGAATGTGTGGCATCATCATTTGTAGGAATTCACAGTACTCTTCCTGGATTTTGGCATGATTAAGATGTTTGGAAGAGGAATAATGGCATTATCCCACAGTAATACATTATACATATTGGTGTCTCTACACGGTTTTGTCTGTAGGCCAGCTGTGGGAGTGGAGGGCAGGCCATGGACACCCTGTCCCAGCGGCATCAGCAAATCAACCAGGCCTTTGAGGAGCTCCGCCTGGCCACACAGGAAACTGAGAATGAATTGAGAAAGCTGCAACACAGCCAGGAGTACTTCATCATCCAGTATCAGGAAAATCTCCGCATACAGGGTGAGGAGAGACGCACAGACACATTTGTATGACTGTCTTTGTAAGGACATGACTTAGCATAACGCATTCTAATCCCGTTCCAAGTGGGAGGTAGAGTTCTCTGTCATCACTAATTTTGAATGTCTGATCTGATCAGCACCTGATCTTCTGGCTCAGCTGCTCATGTTCATTTGATCAGAAAGATATGTAATGAGTAAAGGAATTACAATGTCATAATAATAGCAGTGTTTCTAACAAGATGATCTCCCTCTCTTCTTTTCTATGTCTCCAAGACTTAGAGTTAATTTTAGATTTCAGCCAGTTTAGATTTAGAAATAAAAAAATATAAGTCTATGGAAATGTTCCCACCTTTTTTTAGTTGTTGCGTACCTAGAATATGGACGTACACGTATGTTATACAGCCATAAGAAACCCCATTTTTAAATTAGGTCCATTTTATTTACACAGTGGCTCAGCAAGGTTTTAGCTCCATTTTGCTAGTGACTGTGCAGGTCTAAAGAAGCAGTGCAATTAATAGTTCATGCAGTTGTCACAACATTTTGTTTTAGTTTGGCAATTGTTTGACCATTTTAGGCCCATTATTCTCTACATGAAACCAGTGGGGACTGCAAGGTGGCTCTGTGGTTAGCACCATCACCTCGCAGCTAGAGAATGCCCGGTTCGTGTCCCGGTTAGGACGCCCGGCATCTTTCTGTGTGGAGTTTGCATGTTCACCCTGTGCAGCGTGGGTTCTCTCTGGGTTCTCCAGCTTCCTCCCACACAGTCCAAAATCATGTTGAGGTTCGTTGGTGATTCTAAATTGTCTGTAGATATGAATGTGAGTTAAAGGAATTTACATTTACTTTTCAATAAAGGTATTCTTAACGACCAATTATTTAATGATTAGTGGCACAATCACAAGTTTGATTACTCATTCAGTTCCTTCAACTAGAATTTCGACACTATTTACAAAAAAGAATTAAGTGTGATTTACACAATACCATAATTATAAACATAGGTTTTTAAAGTTAACAGGCTTAAAAAGGGTTACAGTTAGGGTAGCTTCTTTTAAATTTTAAGTTTGCAAGGTGGCGCAGTTGGTAGCACTGTTGCCTCGCAGCAAGAAGATCGCCGGTTCGTGTCCCGGTGGGGGCACTGGGATCTTTCTGCATGGAGTTTGCATGTTCTCCCTGTGCAGAGTGGGTTCTCTCTGGGTTCTCCGGCTTCCTCCCACACGGTCCAAAAACATGTTGAGGTTAATTGGTGATTCTAAATTGTCCGTCGGTGTGGATGTGAGTGTGCTTGTTTGTCTCTTAAGTGTTTCCCTGTGATAGACTGGTGACCTGTCCAGGGTGTCCCCTGCCTTCGCCCTAAGTCAGCTGGGATAGACTCCAGCCCCCCCCATACCCTTGAGAGGATTAAGCGGTGTATAGATAATGGATGGATGAAACCAATGAAGGAAAAGCTTTTGAAAAGTTTGAAAAGTAGTTCAGAATTCTAGAGTGTGACCATTTTGGTTAAGGCGCACTTTAGTGGAGGTTGCAGGTAGGGTTCCAGTGTTTGAATGATGCATATTTTTGCAGGTTGAGGGTGCAGATCGGCCTTGATAACGTGTATGGTGGGTGTGAGGATGGAAAACACTTAGTTATGTGTTTCTACCCACTTTATGCATGACATTGGAGGTTAATGACTGTCTGCCTTCAGCAGTGCAGCTGATTCCTCTGCCTATGTCAGCTGCTTCGTGAGCTGTGAGCTTCTGCTATCAGGTTTTTAAACCTTACGACTGCGCCCTGTGCTTTGACTTACAGGTGTTTCAGCAGTTTTTGTCTATCCTATAAGAACAAGTCACTGCAGTTTGATGTTCTACTGCAGCTTTATATGTTGTGTGGAGTCCTTCATATATTAGCAGTTTAATTATGCTGGATTAGTTGAGTCTTGTTTTTTTTCTTTTTCTCTATTTGCCTTATTAGATACAGTAGTGAACTACAAAATTTGTCTTTTTGAATATTTTAATGCCCGTTATGCACCTTTTTTGTGTTACTACTTTCTGGTAATAGTGTTTAATGTTATTTGCTCTGGCTGTCATGCAGTATTATTGCATCTGGTTTGATAAGACAGTTGTAAACACTGTTGATGCCTCATGTCTGAGGAAAACCATGTGTAGCATACATCGGAAAATCTCTGACTTGAAAAGTTATTTAAAGTCATCTTCTTTACTCAAAGGTGAACAGTGTATTTAAGTGGCTGGTGTTCGTAACATCTTGTCTTTCTCCTGCATCTTACTTTGTTAGCCCAACTGAGCAGCTTGTCTTCACTGCCTCCAGCTGAGCGCACCCAGCGGGAGACCACCCTACAGAGCAAGCGAGCCACTGTGGAGGCCTGGCTCACCAGAGAGGCCAGCACACTACAGAAATACAGGCTTGTATGATGACATGGCACACATACACCATATACTGTATCTGTGCAGTAACTTAAGCTCACAAGGAAACACAAAATACTAATGCGTCTCAAGGTGTGGCAGGTGTGGCACTGCTGAGGTATTATTGAGGCCCAGGTTGCTTTGGTAGCAGCCTTCAGCTCATCAGTTTTTAGAGGGGTGAGTGTTTCTCATCCCTTCCACTTGATAATATCCCATATGGGGTTTTATGGGGTTCAGGTCAAATGAGTTGGCTGGCCAATCAAGGACAGTAATGCCATGGTCAGCAAACCATTTGGTAGGAGTTTTGGCTCTGTGGGCAGGTGCATTGTCCTCCTGGAAAAGGAAATGGAAGCATCCTGACCAATTGTCTCTCAGCAACAGGTGATAGCTTGGTTTTTCTTCCTGATTGTGACATTAAAGTAGCTGTGCCATGCACCTTATATTTATATACAATACAACTTTTATACAAAATACAACTGTTTGCACAGATCATTTTGGGATCCGTAGCTGCTTTAAGTGGCTCCAAGTGAGACATCTGACTTGTTTTAGAGGTGGTCACTTGTTTAATGATTTGCTTTTTCAGCTCTGTGCTGAGCTTCTCAGTCTTTCCCTTTGTAGTGTTTGTGGCTCAGTCTCATGAGTATATCAACTGGGCCCTATTGAAAATGGCCCTTAGAAGTCAACAGCTGTCGTCAACTGTATTCACTCACAAGAAGTTCAGAGGCCATGTCACTAAGATCATTTGATCATCACAGCTGTCACAGAGTTTTTGAGATTTCCAGAAGACCTATAATACATCTATGACCAAAATCCTGATGTTTTTTTTTTTGACAATACTGTACGTTGTCCAATCTGCCTCTAGCTTTATGTTTGATAAGAGTTGCATGTCAATATTTTGTGACAGTCATAGCACAGCCTACTAGCAAGAAGTCAGCCTTATGTGACAAACATCCTTTGATTTAAATGAAATTTGCCTGATGTGTTGTGCATGATATACCACAATACCATGCATGTCAGTTACATGCTCTCTAGCACAAGATAATGAACACAAGTAGTGATACAAAAAATGCACTCCATCATGTCCACCGCCATGTATAACAGGCAGACACAGAAGCTTACTTGTGCCTGCAGTGAGTGATGATCACCAAAGTGCAGCAGCAGATCACACTTTAGTCTGTGCTCCATTACTGTCCAGATGTACGTAACATGAGTGTAAAAAAGCATAATGCTAAATGCCCTGTTAGTAATTTGTTGCAGGTGTAAGCATCCTCTTTTAAGTCTGAAGAGTCAGTTTGTACAGCTAAATGGTACTAACAGTAGGATGTAGGCGAGAATTTTAATGTTATTAGACTACTATAGAGTATTAGTGCTTTTAGTCTTTCTTAGCATATGGCTCTCTGTTTCCAGAATTTGTCAGAGCAACACCAGAAGACTCTCAGCCTGCTGAGGAAGCAGCAGACTCTGATTCTGGATGAGGAGCTCATTCAGTGGAAGAGGAGGCAGCAGCTGGCTGGCAATGGGGGTCCTCATGAAGGAGGACTGGATGTTCTCCAGTCCTGGTATATACTGGAAATGTTTAATATTTACTAATAAAACTGGCATTTAATATTATGGAATGCAGTCTGTTCAGTGCATTTTTAGTAAGTGGCACAATCCATGTAATTTTTGCCTCTAAATTAAGCAATCATGGTATTAATAAATTGTAGACTTGGTTTTAATTCAAGAGGTTCAACAAAAATATTGCAAAAGTGGAATGTGCAGTTCAGGAGACAGACTGTTGATATTTAGTTGGCATATTTGGATTAGAGATTAGTTTGCATGTACCACATTTACCAACCCTCTTACTCTGCCTGAGCCCAAACGCGCACAGAACACAATACAATTCAGTTCAGTTCAATTCAGTTCAATTTTATTTATATAGTGCAATTCACAACACATGTCATCTCACAGCACTTAATAGAGTAAGGTGAAGACGTTATGAATTTGAACAGAGAACCCAACAATCCAAAGTTGTGCTTTGTAGATCAGTCTGGCCACTTTATTTGTTCTATATTCACAGAGCCAGGACTTGGGGAGGCTGGAACCTATCCCATTCTTAAGATAGTGGTTGGCTCAGAGGTTAAGGCTTTGGGCTATCAGAAGGCCAAGCTGCGACTGTTGGACCCCTCACCCCTATCTGCTCCGATGCTGCGTTAGTGTGGCTGTTCCTAACGAGCTTGGATATGTGACAGTTTCCACTTCTGTAATTAATAGGGTATATAAACTAAAAGAAGCCTTTATATCGACATTCAGGAATGTGTCTATTGATTGTAGACCTCCAAAGTGTTCTTCGCTTGGCTAGATGTTGTGAAGGGAGTTTTCTTGATAAAGGAAAGACTTCTGCCATTGTTCATTTTAGCTGTGGTCTTCCAGGCTTTTTTGTGTTGCAGAGCTCAAAAGTGTGTTCTCTCGTTTGAAGAATGAACCATATTGTTGATTTGGCCTAAAGTTTCCGCTGTCTCTGTGATGAGTCTGTTTGTTTTTCCGCATAGCAATTACCTCCTCCACTTGCTTTGACACCTCTTTGGACTGTAGTCGAGAGCTACCATAAACAGCTTCAAATTGGAAATTCAACGCTTGGAATCAACTCCAGACCTTTATTCTCCTTAATTTGCCATGAAATGATGAGGAAATAGATCACTCCTGGCCACGAAAGTGCTTATTACTGAAGTGTCTGAACTTTTGTGAAAACTGAAGAACTATTAAAAAGTTTAAGCTGTCCATGCAGTACTTTTGTTAAACCCCTTGAATAATGCCTGAAGTCTACAATTTTACCAAATCTTGATTGCTTCATTTCAAATAGATTGTGGTGGTCTACAGAGGCAAAATTACAAAATCTGTGTTCCTGTCCAAATGAAATACACCTGTCCATACTCGCACAGAGAAATTCAACAAATAATGGCAACCTCATTTTCTGCTCTCCCCCTTCCATATTGGTGATGTCTCTACCTCCCTTCCCTGTCCTCCAGGTGTGAGAAGCTGGCTGACCTTATCTGGCAGAACCGGCAGCAGATCCGACGCTGTGAACATCTTACCCAGCAGCTTCCCCTGCCAGGCCCAATGGAAGAGCTGCTTAGCAAACTCAATGCTGACATTACTGACATAATCTCTGCCCTGGTTACCAGGTCAGAAGTAGACTTTATCACTCATCCATGTGTTCACAACCAGCTTTTCAAATCTCTTTCACCTTTATCAGAGCCTCAGTCTGCTTTGCAGTTCCACATTTGCATTGCATGTTAACCACAGAATTACACCAGAATGACATTACGAAACACAGTTAAATTCAGTTTCACTTCTCTATGGTTCCTTAGTCTTGTTTCTTGTTAAGCTACTTGTGCTTAGTTTCTGTTTCTCTCTTCAAGGAGCAGTGAAATGATGTTCAAGCTCATTCACCTAGGAGACACCCTAAACGCTAAAGACTTCTTATATGTGCAAGACCGACAAAGGCAAAAGCACCATTATGAACCACTTAACCTTTTACCGTTTCGTTGTAATTATTGTAATTTATTTAAACCTGGAAGATGTCAACCTCAGCAATAGCCTCACATGACTTGGTGAAGAGCATTATGTACTTAAATGATGCATAATTATAGAAAGGTTGTTGATCTGTAGCTTTTATTTCACCAGTCAAAGGGGAACTTAAATAAGGTTTACATGACAAAAATAACAACATTACATAGCCTCTGATGCTATTTTATTTATTTTTTTAATCTCCTTAGTCTTTTGAAAGGGTGTTTGACCTTGTAGTGTAAACCTGCCACCCTGTTTCAGGGTTTGTGTGTTTTTTTTGGACTGACTGCAGTGATGTTAAAATCACCCACTCCGGCATAATTTGTGTGGGGACCCAATCCCAGTGCAATACTTTAGCAGAGGGACTGATGCAAACAGTTTATGTCCTTATAAACATGGAGAGACAACTGTATGTTCTTTTTTGGTATTTATCTTTTCTTTAGCACCTTCATCATTGAAAAGCAGCCACCCCAAGTGTTAAAGACCCAGACCAAGTTTGCAGCCACCGTCCGCCTTCTGGTTGGCGGGAAGCTCAACGTCCATATGAACCCACCTCAGGTCAAGGCTGTCATTGTTAGCGAGCAGCAAGCCAAAGCTTTGCTAAAGAATGAGAGTACACACAGGTGAGGGGCTCATGCCAGCATATAGACATAGGTCTGATACAATACAATAGTGCAAGTAGTTTGTTGATTTTGAAAAGCAATTAATTAGTTAAATGGCAGTTTAGTTAATATATAGTTTTAATGGTTGTTTCATCATTTTGGGAAAGCACAAAGAATTTGTTGAATCCTTTCTGTCTCGTTTTGCCTTGGTAGTGAAAGCAGTGGGGAAATCCTCAACAACAACTGTGTGATGGAGTATCACCAGGCCACTGGTACCCTCAGTGCACACTTCAGAAACATGGTGACTGAATTTTTTTGTTTGTCTTTTTGAGCTCATCATTATCTGTCACACTATCAACTCTTTGCTGTTTGACTCGAGTGTATTTATTAATTTTCTCTGCAGTAGTAAAGCATGGTAGACATGCAATCAGAAAATCCTGCACGCTAACTAACTTTAGCTTGATACTTACTGTCCTAGCAACATCAAAGCAATAATGGCCATGATGCAAAATTTTAAAAATCTAAATTAATACCTGATGTTGAGAATAATGTAAAAATGTCTAGGTCTCAAAAATAATACAAGCTTTGCTTTCCATAAGAAACATTGTCTAATATTCAGCTAATGCTTTACTTTTTAATGTTTTTTTGGTTGTGTTAGGTTGGGTTTTAACTTTATGAATGTGCAGTCACTCCATTGACACATACACAAAGGAAAGAAACTTAGTAGGGACCAAAAAGAGAACAGTTGTGCGACTGACTAGTGATTAAGTTTACTAAATATGTGAGTTTATTACTCGTCTTTGAGATATCAGTTGTAATTGTATTATTATCAATAATACGACTGAATACAGTATTCTGGCCATTTGTCAGAATTAGCTGTACAGTAGCAAGTTTATATTGCATTTCATTTTAATGAGTTTGACAACCTAAATCAAACCACAGTTGCATGGTGTAGATAACAACAAAAGAAAAAAGTGTGCATCCCTTTCCCTTTTCAAAGCATATCCCCACATTAGTACAATTACAATTGGTTTAGTGCTGTGCAACACAATGTTTATTGTATTGTTTATTGTAATGGAGGTTTTTTGCTAATCTCTTCTTGTGTCTTTATTGTGTATGTCTGTTTATAGTCACTGAAGCGGATCAAGCGTTCAGACCGTCGAGGTGCAGAGTCAGTGACAGAGGAGAAGTTCACAGTCCTGTTTGAGTCACAGTTCAGCGTTGGGGGCAATGAGCTAGTCTTCCATGTCAAAGTAATCCAATGGGACATGTCGTCTTTTATACTTGTGAATTATGGCTGAACAGCACTGCTAGGATACTGAACAGTCAGCTTTACTGATAGACCACAGTTAAATGAGAGTTTTATTTACTCTGTCTAAGCTTAGTATTTTCTGGTTTTAAACTTTTATTAATTACTGGTCAGTTTCAAGTCAACCGGTCTCTTCTTTAATCTGTTTCTGTGTCTTGTTGTGTCTCAAACCTGCAGACCTTATCCCTGCCTGTGGTTGTGATCGTCCATGGCAGTCAGGACAATAATGCTACAGCAACAGTCCTGTGGGACAATGCCTTTGCTGAGCCAGTAAGTTGCCTGTTCCTGAACAATCTCTTTCCACAATGGCCTTTGTAGACTGTCATCTGACTTATTCTTAAAAGTTGTACTTTGTGTGGTGTCACATGTTTTACCATTCCATTTACTGTATTGAACATATTCAATAGACTGTGTACTATGCTTTTTGTTAAGTTTTAATCTGTTACCTGGTTTGGGCCTGTAGTGTCTCCTCTGGCTTTTTGAAATCTTACAACCCACTAGAGAGATGTCATTTTGCTGTATTAGTCAAAACAACAGTAGTAAATATGGTGAGACAACAAATACAAAGTTAGAATCTGAACTTTTCACTGCCTTGCTTTTCCTCCGTGTTTGTCACCCTGTTTGTCTTCTAATCAGGGCCGAGTTCCATTCATCGTGCCAGACAAGGTCCTGTGGCCTCAACTGTGTGAGGCCCTCGATATGAAGTACAAGGCAGAGATGCACAGTGGCCGTGGTCTGTCAGAGGATAACCTGGTCTTTCTGGCACAGAAGGCTTTTACAAGTAGCAGCAATAACCCAGAAGACTACCGCAACATGACTATATCCTGGGCCCAGTTCAACCGGGTGAGGCCAGCTTGTTTCCTCAGCTCAGCAGCTGACTGGTTGAGACACATGTACATTGTGAGGCTATGTTTTAACAACAGAGCCTGTCCTCACACTGTACTTTCATTTCAAATTCTCTCTCTTACACACACACACAAACACCAGTACACTGAAAGCTGTGTGTAATATAGTGTTGGTAATCACTTCATTACAGTGACTTACATACATTTTCTGGAGACTTAAGCTAAACTGAACTGGTATTTGCTTTGCCCTTAACCTAAACTAAATTTTCACTTTAAGATATACAATCTAACATAATAGGCACTTGTTTTTTGTTTAGAAGGGAGGCAAGAGACTGTATAAATGGATTTATGATGCTGCAGCATGAGTAATACAAGTACACACACAATCACATAAACACAAAGTACATCAGGAAGCAGCATTATGCTTCAGACAACACAGAAATGTTAAGCCACAAGATCTTAATCTAGAAGGGGCACTCCACTAACCCCATTGCCCAATCTTTCAGTTTTTATTTTTAAGACAATGTTTCAGATCCTTGTTCTAACGCTCCAGCAAGTTTCCTGATTTTTGCTTGGTAGTTTTTATGTAATCCTACTGACAGAAAAAAGTTATAAAGAAATAAAGGAGAGTTATGGTAGAAGTCTTGCTAATGCTCTGTTGGGTTTTACAGTTACTGGGTCACTTCAGTGTTTGTGGTGACAGTGTTTGATGAATGTGACTTCTCAGAGTAGCCTGGTGTTCACTTGTAAACATACTGATTAAGTGGGTTTTAATTTGTGCAGGAGAGCTTACCTGGCCGCAACTTTACCTTCTGGCAGTGGTTTGATGGAGTCGTAGAGCTCATGAAGAAACATCTCAAGCCTCATTGGAATGATGGGTAATGACTGATGTTGACTGGTATAATTTTTCATTTATCAGAAGTATGGAGTAAGAATAAAAAGTAGCATGTGCCAGTGTTTTCTAAGATTGAGGAAAAAACTCTTTCACTACCTTCTTAAGTATGTGTTTCCTCTGACCACATGGGGATGTGCTCTGTTGCACTTGTGAGAGTTCATCTGTGATCAAAGTGATTGTGTGTTGTGTGAATATGTTTATAGGGCCATTCTGGGCTTTGTGAACAAGCAGCAGGCACAGGACATGTTGCTGTCCAAACCAAACGGCACATTCCTGCTGCGATTTAGCGACTCTGAGATTGGAGGCATCACCATTGCCTGGGTGGCCGAAAATCCCAACAAACCAGGTGCCAAACTGCTCTGCTTTTAAAGTTCCTTTGGAACTTTAGGGCAATGAATTACAAAGTTATTAGAATAGCATACAGCTGAAATGAATTTTACACTTACAGGCAAAATTTTCCTCTGCTGGAACGCATTGAACCAGTTTTGATTTTTTCCTGTTAATATTGTTCTCTAATTCCACTCATGTCTTAGAGGGTTATGTTCACACATGCTTGAGCAAAATACATAAACTATGTTTGTTGCTGATATATCTGTATTTGTTCTTTAAATACAATGACTGTAATCCTTGATTCCATCCTTGTAGGCGAGAGGCTGGTCTGGAATCTGTTGCCTTATACAACCAAGGATTTCTCTATTCGCTCCCTGGCTGACCGCATCAGTGACTTGAACCATCTCCTGTTTCTCTATCCAGACCGGCCCAAAGACGAGGTCTTTGCCAAGTACTACACCCCTCCACTGTGTACGTATCTGTAATGCTTATTTCTAACTGTTAAAACGTCACTGCTATGAGCTTAATATTCCCATCTACAGTTAAGATGCTTTTTCTCAGGAAAATACAGGATACTTTCTCAACATGACTATATTTTGATATTATGCAGTTTCTATGGTTCATCAGCTTGGCTATAAAAGCCCAGGCTGGTGAAATGTGTCCAGTATATACGACAATGTAAAGCATGGGTATTCTGGAATTGAGATTTTAAGGTAGTGTGCCTCTCTTGCAGCAAAAGCAGTGGATGGATACGTAAAGCCACAGATCAAACAAGTTGTGCCAGAGTAAGTTGTTCTTTTTCTCTGTGTCTTTTCTGTTAAACTGTTACAAGGAACCTAGCTCTTCTCAGACACTGAAAAAAACACTACTACTGGTTCCAGAAAGCTACCACATATAGTACATTGGGAAAGGAGGGCATCATGTGAGTTTACTGATTGTAGTGCTCCTGTTCCTCAATATAGTGAAAGGTAACTTTACATTGATGTGTAACAAAAAAGTCTGCAAAAAAATGAGTTTATTAATGTTTAACCTAGAAGAAGTGTTCCAAAAACTCAGTTTTCAGTGACCTAAAACTACCTTTGTGTGTGAATGCAAGGTTAAAAACCATGGGAAAAGGTACTTTATATATAATACCCATGTAAGTGGGCCATGTTGTTTGTATTTTAAGTGTGAGTTTTGCTCTAGTAGATAATTATCATTTCATTAGAGAAACAGCTGAAGTAATGTGTGGTGCCTGTCTCTGGTAGATTCACCACCCCGAACCCTGAACCCAGCAGTGGAGCTCCTACATTCATGGACCAGACAGCTTCTCCCTCCGTGAGCCACCCAAACAATTTTGGTGTCTACCCTTCCATGTAAGCACCCCATTTAGTGCACTTATTTACTCATAAAACTCTGTAAACACAACACGAAAATAGGCATTTTTATTATATGAAGAGTGCTTTAAATTTTGATATTTTGATGATAATATTTACTTTATGTAACTACAGTTGTCAATGCAGGACTTTCACTTGTAAGGAGTTTTTTTTACTTCAGCTGAAGTAAAGGTCCCAGTCTTTCTCTCACCACTGTGCTTCTGACAGCAGCACAGCAGCTGTCCTTCTGACTGAACACTGACACTCAGTCAGCTATATACAGAGACAATAATTACAGTTGTGAACAAAAATGTATATACCCATGTATGAGACCATGCATATAACGACAGACTTGAGTTTCCCAATGACTGTTACACTTCTGAACTTTCTATGATGGGATCATTGAAACACATGTTTTTGTCACATAAAACAATCATGCATTTTGTTTTGTTTTTTCAGTTCAAATCTGTTTTATTTATATAGCCTGAATTCACAACGTATGTCATCTCAAGGCACTTCACATAATAAGGTGAAGAGCTCACAAAAGGTATACAGAGAAACCCAACAAATCCAAAGTTTCCCTTGAATTCCCTTTAACCTGAAGACCCGAGCTCTTGTTTGATTTGCATTTTTTAATTTCTCTTTGCTATTTTATCAGATCAAATAAAAAAATAGAAATATAAAAGTGTAAAGAAAATAAAAATCTTTTTAAAAATATAGATAATATTTTTTAAATATAAAATAAATAAATAATAATAAAACAATAATAATTAAAAAATTTTAAAAAATTAACTTCTGTGATAATATAACCCAAAATGTGATGTCCAAACATGTGGATGCCAGGTCTTAAGATGTTAAGCAAGCACTATTATTAGACAATAGTGGGGAAAAAAAACTATTCTCTTTACTGGGAAGGACATGCAATTACAATATACAAACAAAGAATGACATGAGTATGTTAAAATAATTATAGGACTACACACTTATAGAGTGGAATAATCGTTATAGGGAGTGCACTAATCATCAAACACTTGTTGACCTGGCCTATCCGGTATCACAGAATATCAAACAATAACTTTCCAGCGACCCTCCATCATGACACTCTTGGCCTCTGTGTCCTGTCAGGAGTGACAGCATGTTGGATCCAGATGGGGACTTCGACCTGGAGGACACAATGGACGTAGCTCGTCATGTGGAAGAACTTCTTCGCAGACCTATCGCCAACCAGTGGAGCAGCCAGCAGTCCTGAACCACAAACCTAAAGCTGTTGTACACCTTTAGGTCTTGTACATATTGAAACATCCATTCTTGTAACTCCGACTGGAGTGCAACCTTTGCAAGTCAGCCACTCTGGCAGATCCACATCATTTCACTATTCAGGTCCAGTTTTAGCTGCCTACAGCAAAAGAACACGTCCAGTAATGAAAAGTCACCTACACGCCTAAATGTCTCTTTAAAGAAACTAAACTTGTTATTAAGAGTCAGTATTACTGGCATTTGACAGGAGCTTAATGTTCTCTCCCACTTGTCATAGTTTCTCAGGGCTGTCGTGTTGAACTGGTTTGGTTCAGTAAGATTTTTATACAAAGTTTAGAAATACAGTTAATTTTAATGGAAGCTTTGCTTATGTGCCTAATGAGCTTTTAGCTGACACCAGGAGACTTGTACAGAAAAGTATTTCAAAAATTTTAGTTTTTTTTTACCCTCAACACAGTTGACATTGGTGAGTGTATCCAAGTGCCGACAAATTACAAATACAGAGAATATTGGTCAATATTTTTTTATTGTGTTGAAAATATAGAAATTACTCAAGACAAAAAAATGAGACTATGTAACGTTTGCGGACGTTTAGCCTCTGTAAACATAAATAGCCTTAACAGAATGATGGCAAGTGATCTTTCCTTTAACTCTCAGGATTCTTTTAAATCGGGTTTTTTAAAGATGTTCTCATCTGACCGACAGTCTGTGGAAGAGAACAACAGACAAGAAACGACCGACATGACTTACAGTGAGGTACATCAGAGCTGTTGCTTTATCATTAGCTTAGCTGTGGCTTAAGCTTTAACACAGGTTTAAACCTCTGTTAAATGCCCCTGCTGTGTCTTCTGGGCTTGCAATTTTAACTTAGCTGCTGTGTCCCATAGAAACCACCGAGCGCCAGTGGAGCTCACTGAGCTTGACCTCAGTACTGTTGCATCCCTAGGTTACCTGAGGCTTAAAACAAAGAAAACGCAAGTCTCCACAGAAAGAGGCTTACTGATGTGACCCACTGAACAGAGTGGGTAGTATGTATGGAGTAGTGCAGCAGTGCAAGGTGCCAGGTGAGCCAGCTGATTTTTTCATTGTGCTGAGTCTCAGGAAAACAAAATCATGTGTGTATTGTAAGAGCAGTTCTTACCTCAGTCTTGATACATTTTATTGTATATTATTATCATTGATACTGTAGTAAATTTTAAGGAGAGTTGTTATTGTACAGACCAAATGTTTAACTATATAATGGATATTTATATTGATACATTATTTTGTTATAATTAGCTGAAGCTAGACTGATAAAACACTGTATATTTTTAGTCATATTTCTGAGTTCTGTCCTCAGCAATTAGATCAGGGGTGTCCAATCCTGGTCCTCAAGAGCCACCATCCTGCATGTTTTAGATGTTTCCCTCTTCCAACACACCTGATTCAAATGATCAGCTCATCATCAAGCTCTGCAGAAGCCTGATAACGATCCTGATC